ATTATTTTAATGTTCTGGTCATAAATAAGAATTTTACGGATTAAATAAAAATCGCTATACCAAAACGATATTTTCTAAAGCATTAAAGTAGAGGTCGTAGCCGGACTAATACTTCAGAAAATGTTCACGAGTTACAGTACTTTTAATTTAAAAATGAGCATGGACTTGATGAACATGTTCTCACATACGAAACATTACACCAGTCAATCAAAGAATACATAGATATCTTTATAAAATAAATGGCGCACGAATTAAAACAATCGCTTTTTTCTTTACGAAAAAAATATTACAAATGTTTTCAGTGTGATCGCTTAGAAAAAAGAATGAAACTGTACAAAACCTGACAAAACCACTGGCACCAATTTAAATGCTTATTCTTTCACGTGAACTACATACGTATGCGTTCAACTAAAACTAAAACCGAGTAGAAACATGTTCATTACGTACATATATGTAAGTGGAAAATAGTAAATAGAGTGACGTCTTGTTAACTATTTTTTTTTACATTATTTTCATTCGCACTTTACAACGAGATGACTGCACGTACGTACAATTATTCGAAGTTGTACGTGTTTCTCTTCGCTCTCGCGCCGTACGTGTTTGCAACATATTGTAAAAAGAAGTTTAATCAACAATAACTATTATAGTTCCTATGCTTTGATCGGTATTTCTTACGATTCTGCATCTTAGGCTAATTTTTATTTGGCTCTTGGCACTTAGCATCAACTTTTAGAAATATAATCGTAGGAAAAGATGTATCTCGTTTATGGTACACAAAGTTTTAAAATATTCTTCTATAAAACGATTAGTTAACCGTATAATTCGCGTATTTTTATCGTATACATTTGAAAAGTTCACTCAATTTAAATCAATAGCCAAATTAGTTATTTTTTTATGAAATCAATATGTCCCTCCGATTTACTGGGACTCCTAATTACAAATTTAGATAACGAGTATTTCGCACAATCTATCGATAAACATGTGTGCCATTATAAGATTTATCATTGTCATTCTTTATTTCAAAATCTTCTGAAATCCATTTTTAGTCCAAGATATCAACTTTGCGCCAAATTGGTTCTGATGAAAGAAACGTTTTTTTATTGGTTTTTTTAATCGCGTAAGATTGTGCACTTATCTTTCGAGACCAAAAACGTATCGTTCACTAATTTAAAAAAAAAGTATATATACATCTAAAAATGTAATTTTTCGATACAAGCTAAACGTGGGAATACCTAATACAGATCCGTAAAACGTAATGATATACACGCGCGCGTGCGTGCTCTTTTAACTACATATTTGTATTTCGTACTCTACTACCACTTCGCGTAAGTATTTCCTCGCTAGTCCGTGCATCGAAATATCGAAACATTTCATGGCAGCAACACGTATGTTCGTGAATATATACACGATTCGAACAACTCGATCGATGTTGATCGATCAAGCGACTATATGTAATCCTCATCGTTTCTCAATTCTACCGGTTTACTGTTTCCAATTATTTTTGAAAACAATTTCCACGACCCGATCGTATTTTTAAAATGACCAGTGATTATTGTATACTTTTCAAATGAAATGAACAATGATTCGAGATTTACAATAATACAACAACATCGAGCGTGGTATTGCATTGTCGACCCTTGATACGATGCACCATATAACCCGCTGTCACGAAAGAATATACCTGCGTAAAGAGCAGTTCTCAATTATGACGCGAATCTCTCTCTTTCTCTCTAATGCTGTCCGTATGCTGTACGTATTCGGTTATCCCACTACTTCCAAGCTGCTCGAATCGGGTATGCTCTCTCGTAACGGCGATAATAGAAAAGTCATCAACAGATCGTCAGTAGCGATAATTCCGCTTTAGTTATAATCTTTCTATTTTGCTTTTCTTTTTTTTAATTCAGGTGATGCCGCTTATTAAGTGGTCAAGGTTGACGTCCGGAAACGGCGAAAGTACGTTCCGGCTCATAATCGATACCGTTTCATCATGGTAATGCATCATCGAACAGCAGGAAGCCTTTAGGAGAGAAGAGCGGTGTTGTTCATTGTCTCAGAGATGTGATCCGGGTCCCGTCCTCGCTCCTCAGGAACATAATGTATCATCTATGCATCCAGAATCCACATTCACACGTATTTTCCGACTCGCACAATGGTGGTGGGGTGACGATATATGGATGGTGATGGATTAAGTCTTGTGCATGGTTGACGGTACACAACGACGACGTCTCTTTATACATTCGTCGGTGGACACCGTTCACGAGGTGGCTCGTAGCTTTTCCAACGCTGGTATTAACGGCTCTTCACTGGAGGGACCGCAACTGAGCCCGCATTCACCGATCCACCTTGCCTTGCCACTCGCGTGGGACTGTAAAATGTAAAAGAAAACACATTTTAATTTATTTAATATGAATTTACTTATCAATTTAAGTGAACGGTAGGATTCGTTGGAATGCGATGTGAAATTTATTTCAATTCTGTATTATCTGACGGCCGGTATAAAATGAAATTCATTTGGCAATCGATTTCCGTTGAATGAATTCAATTTGGTCGTTCGAGTCAGATGTTCGATGCTAGCAGTTAACAGTTACGCCGCTTATCGATTTCGCCAATGACATTTACAATAGCCTCGTGGTTACCACGAAGGTCATGCTAACGAGTGGCCTGTTCATGATAAGATCGAACAAACTTGCTCGAGCAAACCAGTCGATAAAGGCTATAAAGCTTAATTTCAGCTTAAAATAATCAAAGTTTTATAGCCGTCTTTCCTTAGTCGAAGATCAAGAAGTTCATTCATATGTAGATATAATACTCATGACTTAACAAAAGCTATTACATTCAACATGAAGTATTGATGATGATTAATTTTGATGATATCCATCATCAAAATGATATCAATCATAAAAATGTGAGTTAAAAATACGATCTTGATCTTTTAAAATGAGTTCCTTTTTATTTTACATTTAATGTGCTTTAATGAGTATTTGTAATCTTATATGAGGTACAGGGCCGAGGATAACGAGTCGGTCGAAGCTGTGTTTATGGGATGAAATCCTGGTTTCAATATAAAAAAAATAGGTACTTACCATGGTAAGGTCGCGTTTCCACGAGGTGCGGCAACGTCCATCGCAAAGTGGGCACGGCCGTTGAAGGGAGTATCCACCGCACTCGCTGCAGTCGAGAGAGACGTGTTCTTCGCTCCACGAAACCCCACATCTAAAAGTAAAAATAAAAATTTGTTAGTTTTCTTTTTGGCAAAATAATATCAATAAAAAATGGTCAAATTGAAAGAATATTTGTAATATTTCCTAAAATTTGTATAATAAAAGGAACAGTTATTAATACTCGTAGCTTTCGATTAGCTTCGAGGATACATTTAAAATCCAGTCAAGAAATCAATTTAATTTCATATTACCGAGAAGGTAATTTAACCGTAAAACGTAGTTCCTTGGCTACTCTATTTTTACGATCGTAAGATCACGGTGGAGTGGAGATAATTATAAAACCGATAGGCTATGGAAATGTCTTAAGTTCAATCTCGACCAGTGCTCTGCGTCACGCGAGTTCATAATTCCGTTATCTTTTTTTTTCAACATTTCTATTAAAAAAACGAAAGCTTGTGTACAATCGAACTAAGAATGCTGTAGATAAAATTTGATTATCGTAACAAGATCAATTCGAACTAAATCTACGATTTTATGATTATTCTGGCGCCAGAACCAGCGACGCAACAATCAAATTCCATTGAAACAATGGAATCCAAGAAAGACAAGGTTTAAACCGGATTTGTCCGCGACACCCAACGCGTTTAATGCACGATCAACGTTCCAAACTCATTTACACGTCACGATTCCGGATCGTGTCGGATTCTATTGTCTTGAATCCGAGTTCAATTTTGTTCGACCGTACACAGAGTTCGTTGTATCAGAATCGCGGGACAATACAAGAGTCAATAGCCCAAGGAGAGAACATAATTATTCGCCTACATATACATACATTATATGTATTAAAAACTGCGTAAAACAGGATTCAATCGGGTTAATTGTCTCTGATAGCTTTACTCTTGAATCATCTGCACAGACTTTTATCAACTTCCTTTTGTCGTGTGCGCACGAAAATGATATAGCTATATAAATTTTAACTAAGCAATAACAATTCTATCGAACTTTTTGATATGATCACGGATAGCTCGTCTGAGACAATATTGGCAATTATAGAAGTACAAACGGAAGAATGAAAATAGTGGTATGAAACGTACGTAAAGCAAGAGTTGAGTTGAGCACGAAGTTCCTCGATTGTAAGGATCGTGTCCTGGTACTGAGGATGAGATCCTTGGAGGCCATCGTCCACGCTCCCGCACGAACTATGGCAGGACAGTGAGATGTTGCTCCTGCAACCAAAAAAAGAACGGCAAAATTTAATACTGCGCCCACTGTTTTTCATCTTACTTAGAAT